GGGTGGTCTGCCGACAGGTCCCTTTGTCGTGCTGCTGGTGCCAGGCGGCTTTGGCGGGATGGAGCCTCTCTGGTCCGGTGGAGAGTGAGGGGTGGGGGTGGGATCCTCGTGGAGAATCCCAGCTGGTAGGTTTCTCTGTTCCTGGCAATCCGCTGTTCTGCGAACCGGTACCTGGTATCTGCAACCGGTACCTGGTGATCTGCAAGCGGCCCCCTGTGTCTCTGGGGCTCCGGCAGCCCCCGCCAGGCCAGCTGGCCGGCGGCTTGGCGCACTGCCGCGCGGCCAGTAAAGGTTGGGGGAGGGGTCTTCGCTCTTCTCTGTTCTGAAATTCTTCTTTTCCTCTCTTTCTTTTTTTGTTATTTTCCACCTCTGGTTTTTCTCTGAGTGTTCGTCTTTTTGTTGTTGTCGGTCTCTTGGGGAGATTAAGCGTTGGAACTCGAACTCTCTTTTTGTTTGGAGAGAGCTGTGGCGTTTCCCTACTGCCCCGTCACCATCTTGGTCCCCCCTCCGAGGAAATGTCATTCTGAGTTTTGCACTTGAGAAACCCATTCAATCCCAAACTTTTAAATTTTAACTTAAAAAAAACCAGCAATATATCTATTAATGCTTCTTTGAAAATAGATAGGAAAATTGCATAGGAAATATCTGGATACCAAAGATTGTTCTACACACCAAAAACAGCATAAAGGTAGAAAATTTTCTTTTCTAAAACCGACCATGAGCAAAACCTATCATTTTAGCCAGTACTAGGACTTGAACTCAGGGCTTCAAATTCTCAGTTTTTTGTTTTGTTTTGTTTTTGTTTTGTTCATGGTTAGCACTCTCTACCACTTGGGCCAGGCTTCCATTTTTGGATTTTTGCTTATCAATTGGAGATTGAGTCTGGTGGACTTTTCTGCCTAGCTGTCTCCAAACCTTGATCCTCAGATCTCAGCTTCCCGAATAATTGGAATTGTAGGCATGAGCCACCAGATCCTGCTAAAAATCTGTAATTCTTTATGAAACAAAAGCATCTATCTACTAGTCAGAAAGTGGCCATGATAAAGTAGATCCACAAATAAAAAGATGCTTTGAAGCTGCCTGCTGCCCTGGTCTTTCCTAGTAAGTAAGGTAGAATTCAATGACTACTTGGTTGAAAATGGACTTCATAACAGTGCAAATCTGTGTTTATCCAATCCCAAAGTTAATAAAATGGCTTTGGGGATTGGGTCTTAATTATTCCTCCTATTCTAAAATTTAACTAGAATCAGTGTTTAAAGGAAATATTTGCCTTGTCTGAGATGAATAATAATGGAGTTTGTAGATTAACAATGGCATGCTAATTGTAAGGCCAAAAAAAAAAAAGAGGTAGTGTTTGAAAAGTATTTTGTACTGTTTGGAATTTAAGTTTTGAAGTTAGAAGTACTGGTTGAATTATGGTCTTAAAATAAGTTTCTAAGCCAGGCACTGGTGGCTTAATCCTAGCTATTCAGGAGGCTAAGAACTAAGGATCACAGTTCAAAGCCATCCCAGACAGGAAAGTCCATGAGACGCTTATGTCCAGTTGACCATCAAAATGTTAGAAGTGGAGCTGTAGCTTAAGTGGCAGAATGATAGCCTTGAGCAAACAAACCTCAGGGACAGAACCCAGGCTGTTAGTTCAAGTCTCAGGACTAGCACTCACGCACACGTGAACATGCGTGCACACACACACATACACATTTTTCTGTTTGCTGCACAGTTTTATCACCGGTGTATACATAGAATAATTTCTCACACATATTACAAATAGGGATACTGACACTTCTGTGGCTACCGGATGATATGTGTCCCGTAAGAAATGGAAAGTGCCAAGAGACACCATTCCTCCCCCACCCCGCATCCCCCAGCACAGAGAACAAAGTGTGTCTGGCTGGGTGGAGCTGTGGGAAGAGCCACTTCACTTCAGGACTGGGCTTAAGGCTTAGCCAGTCCCAACACAGTCCTATTCCACAACAGTAAATTACCCAGCAGTTACCAGAGTGATAATGAGTTATCCTTGAAAGACATGAAATGTGTCACCTTGGTAGTTTGTCATTATAGCCTGACTAATTACTGTATAAGAGTTATCCATTGAGGGGCTGGGAAGGTGGCTCAGTGGTAGAGCGCTTGCCTTGCATGCATGAGGCCCTGGGTTTGGTTCCTCAGCACCACATAAGCAGAAAAAAAAAAGCCAGAAGTGGCGCTGTGGCTCAAGTGGTAGAGTGCTAGCCTTGAGCTGAAGAGCCGAGGGACAGCGCCCAGGTCCAGAGTTCAGGCCCCACGACCAGACCCAAAAATAAAAAAAGTAGTGCTGGAAATTATGTGTGTGTGTGTGTGTGTATTGTGTGTGCGTGCACCCATGTGCATGCACACACTTGTGTCTACATGCTGTTACTGCCGTTACTGGGGCTTGAACTCTAAGATCGTGCACTGTACCTTACCTGATTTTTTGTTTTGTTTTGTTTTGCTGCTCAAGGCTAGAGCCATACAACTTGAACTACAGCTCTTCTTAGACTTTCCTGCTGGCTTCAAACCACAATTCTCCCATCTTAGCCTCTTGAGTAGCCAGGATTACAGGTGTGAGCCACCAGCACCCAAATGGAATTTCGAATTGTCTTCCCTGTTGAACTTAATGTCAAAATAACTTGTCTTGGGAAATTGTAACTGCATTTTCTTAAATGCAATACAATTTAAACTAATTGCAAGTTTTTTTCATATATAGACTAACCCTTCCCATCTTTCATGTATGAACTATCTCTGTAGTAAACAATGACAAGTGATTCTGAGATAAGTGGCTTGAGTATGGACTAGTTTCTATTAGAAGTCAGGGTTTGAAATCTAAATTCTCCTATTCATCTTCAAATTCTCAAATTCTAATTTTCTTCAAAGGAGAGTGGCCTTTAAAATGAGTAATGTAGGGGCTAGGGGTATGGCTCAAGTGGTAGAGCACCATTCAAACAAATGTAACATGTAAGCACAAGGCCTTGAGTTTAACCCAACCCCAGTACCACCATTAAAAAAAAGTAGTTCGTGATTAATGTCATTTGAAAATATTGAGTTATCTTGGGCTGGGAAGGTGGCTCAGTGGTAGAGCGCTTGCCTTGCATGCATGAGGCCCTGGGTTTGATTCCTCAGCACCACATAAGCAGAAAAAAAGCCAGAAGTGGCGCTGTGGCTCAAGTGTAGAGCGCTAGCCTTGAGCTGAAGAGCTAAGGGACAGCGCCCAGGCCCAGAGTTCAGGCCCCACGACCAGACCTCCCCCGCCCCCCCCCCACACAAAAAAAAGAAAATATTGAGTTATCCTGATATATAGGGTATAGTTTTTTCAGTATGTACCATGATCCCCAATCTGCTGTTTAGCTATGGATTTCCTAAATAAATATGATTACTCTAACAGCTCTAATTTGGATTGACTTTGTATTTTGAATGGGACAACCTATGGGCAGAGACAGAAAAAACAGTAGTGAAAGATCTGATTTTATACTTCCCTTGAGCTTCCTTCCTGTCCCAGGAATAGTTTCTGGCACAGGGACCCACTTATTTGTCCAATGGTCACCTTGAACTCTTCCCCATGTCTTCCTGTCCTGCCTTCTCTGCTCCACACTATTCTAAGCTGGAAAATGACTGAATCAGAGAATTCCCAGCCATGCTCTCTCTGTCTTCATCTCATTTGTTGTGTGCTGGGCCTTTGCAATGTTCTCCTAAGCCAGTCTGTCCTTTGGCAACCTTGTTTTTGAAATCTCTGAGAAAAACACAGTAATAGTCCTGTCACCCACGCAACACCCATGTAACAAGAAACTGCTGGCTTCAGCTCCTCCCTGCCTTTCTCCTTCCCTGGCTTAAATAAACAGGACATCTGAGCAACCATAAGCATGGCATGGAATGTTTCTTTGAAAACTGTTTGGCATTTCAGAGATTTCAGATGGGCTGTGGTGAAAAGTTATATGTTGCATGTTATAGCTCTGAAACTCTGCCTCATAATCTAGGTGTGAGATTTAATTTTTTTTTAATTTGAAGATTTTGCTTTATTCCTAGCCCTTGTGGTGGCTGTTCTACGCTTCATACAACTGAAACCAAAGGTTTTAAACCCGTGGCTGAATATTAGTGGATTGGTGGCACTGTGTCTGGCTTCCTTTGGAATGACCTTACTTGGTAATTTTCAGGTACTTCATTTGGCCTTTTTCACCTCCCTCTCACTTTTGGTAAGGATTTCACTTGTGTGATTATCATAACCACTGAAGGATAGTCACTATGGTCCATAACATTTTGCATGAAGCTAGGCACTGGTGGCTCACACCTGTAATCATAACTGTTCATAAGTCTGAGATCTGACGATCAAGGTTCGAAGCCAGCCCAGACATACAAAATCCGCAAGACTCCTAACTCTAGCTAGCCAACAGAAAGTCAGATGTGGAGGTATGGCTCAAGTGGTAAAGCAAAAAAGCCAAGCAAGAGTGTGAGGCCTTGAGTTCAAGCCCCAGTACTGGCACTCAATAAATAAATTCTGCATGTACCTTCAAAACAATCAATAATTCTGGTTCCTAGTATGTACAGGTTCTCCCGAAGTTACCACTAGGATCGCTATATCAGAAAATGGCCTATGGTGCATGTAGTGTGGTGTGACTGTGGGGGGAAAAAGCTATAATAGTTCCATGCTTTCTACAAAAGATTTCAAAGTGCTTTACACTTTTGTTTTTCAAAACAAATTGTATCCTGTTGTGCCTTTTTGGAAAACTAATGACATCATTGCTTATTTATCATTAAACACTGATCAAATAGCCTATTTGAGGAATGCTTGCATTTCAGATTAACAAGTTCAGATGGAAGTCAAGCAAAAATTTCTCTAGGGGCTGGGAAGGTGGCTCAGTGGTAGAGTGCTTGCCTTGCATGCATGAGGCCCTGGGTTCGATTCTTCAGCACCACATAAGCAAAAAAGAAAAAAGCCAGAAGTGGCGCTGTGGCTCAAGGGGTAGAGTGCTAGCCTTGAGCTGAAGAGCTGAGGGACAGCGCCCAGGCCCAGAGGTCAAGCCCCACAACTGGACCAAAAAAAAAAAAAGAATTTCTCTAGAACACCTATGACTTGTATTAAAATATACAAACCTGCCGGGCGCTGGTGGCTCACGCCTGTAATCCTAGCTACTCAGGAGGCTGAGATCTGAGGATCATGGTTCAGAGCCAGCCCGGGCAGGAAACTCCGTGATACTCTTATTTCCAATAAACCACCAGAAAACCGAAGTGGCACTGTGGTTCAAGTGGTAGAGCACTCGCCTTGAGCTGAAGAGCTGAGTGACAGTGCCCAAGCCCAGAGTTCAAGTCCCATGACCAACCAAAAAAAAAAAAAAAATACATGTACACACACACACACACACACACACACACACACACACACACCTAACTTTCTCCTAGAAATTTAGAGCCAACAGTTACAACCTAGAAGAATACATTCCCTTGTCAATACCATCACCCAACTCTGGTCCTGACTGACTTCATTTATTGCAGCAGTTTGACTTGCCTCCATTCCCCTGGTCCACACCAACCTCCAATGTGTAACATACGTTTACGGTTACAAGCTTTCTCCTTTGTGAAAACACTGACCCCAACCTCCCTCTCCCACTACTATTGAATGAAATGCCCATGAATGTAGGACCCCAGCGTCTGCTAATGTTCTTACTAAAAATATGCCAGTAGATTTTCCAAGACCCTTTCTTGTTCTAATCCTTACCCTCGCTAACTCATTATCCAGGGCCACTTTTTCCCAAGACTTTCTCCTGGCTGCACACTAGCAACCAAGGTTTTGCTTGAATTATTTGACAGGCATTCCCACAAATTTCCTTTAACTATTCTAGAAGCTAGGCAAGCAGAAAGCCACATTCTTAGAACATGCTCATTAGGGTAGTGATTACCATGAGAATAGAGAGTTTATTCCAAAGCTATGAATGATGAAGAATAATGGTGAGACTACCTACAGTTAGAATATAGAGGAATCAAATAACTAATTGCTTGTAGAGAGAGCAGGTGATGGATACATGGCATAAGAGACACACTTTTCAATCAATACTCTTTTTTAAACATATATTTAAAAAATTTTTGAATCTTGTAACTATAAACTATTTTAATTGGTTAAAATAAGTATTATTAGATAATGAAATAGATTGTATATAGCATGGAAAATTGTATGTATCTTAGTATTGGGTTATTCTTTATGTATGTGTGTGTGTATGCCAGTAACTGGACTTGGATTCAGGGCCCCCAGCTCTCACTCAACTTTCTCACTCACAGCTTGTGTTTTACTCCTTAAGCCATGCCTACAGCCTGGCATTTTGCTGCTTAATTGGAACTGGAGTCTCTCAGATTTGTCTGCCTGGGCTGGCTTCAAACTTTGATCCTTAGATCTCAGCCTCCCAAGGAGCTAGGATTATAGGTATGAGCTACCAGAGCCTGGCTAAGCTATCTCTTTCCTTATTGTTCTTGTTTGTTTGTCCACATATTCCATTGACTTGTATCTCTTTTTCTAATTGAGCCTCCACGTACCATTTTCTGTTTGTCTCTAGCTCACGAATGATGAAGAAATCCATAATGTGGGAACCTCCTTGACCTTTGGGTTTGGCACATTGACCTGCTGGATCCAGGCTGCACTGACACTCAAAGTCAACATCAAGAATGAAGGACGGAAAGCTGGGATTCCACGAGTTATCCTCTCAGCATCTATCACTCTCTGTGTAGTCCTCTGTATCCTTTAAATGGGAAAAGGTTCTTTGACAGTGAGATTAAAACAGGAAAACTGTCTATATATTACATGAGATAATTGTTATTCCCAGTGGGTTAGCGTAACCCTTGGATCATCTTAAGGTAAAGCACCAAAGTAAACAAGTATAAGGCCGAAAGCTCTCAGACTAGTTGTTCATGCCCAAGAACTAAATGTAAAATAAGCTCTGCCTAAGCAAAAAAGAATTTTAGCTGGGTACCTGTATTCCAAGCTACTCAGAAGGCTGAGGATCATGGTTCAAGATCAGTCCAAGCAGAAAAGTTCATGAAACTCTATCTCCCACTTAAGCAACAAAAAGCTGGACTGAAGGCTTGCCTCAACTGATAGAGCATCGGCCAAGCAAGCTGAGAAAGGAATAAGTACAAGACCTCTGAGTTCAAGCCCCAGTAATGGTCCAAAAAAAATTAACATTGACAACAAAAATACCTGGGATTTTTTCCTCCACCTAAAATAATTGTATTAGTGACTTAAATCCTGTTATGTCATTTAATTTAATAGATCTAAAGCGGGGCTGGGAAGGTGGCTCAGTGGTAGAGCGCTTGCCTTGCATGCCTGAGGCCCTGGGTTCGATTCCTCAGCACCACATAAGAAAGAAGAAAAACGCCAGAAGTGGTGCTGTGGCTCAAGTGGTAGAGCGCTAGCCTTGAGCTGAAGAGCTGAGGGACAGCACCCAGGCCCAGAGTTCAGGCCCCATGACTGGACCCCCCCAAAAATAATAGCTCTAAAGTAAGTTTCAAGGGACAAAGATGTCTACATCTTTTAGAAAAGTAAGCTTATGGGGGGAAATAATTAAGAACTAGATGCTCTGTCCTAAACAAATACTTGGGGTTGGAGTGCTATTCATTTCCTTTCCTTGGTTCTCTGAGTTTGAAGCACTGAAAACAGACACAAGGAGCCAGATGAGGATGAAGAAATCAGCTTTTCATCCCAGTAAATTTGGAAAGAAAGTGCTTCAGGTCTCATCTCTTATACCCTAAAGTTCAATTTAGCCACCCAGTAACACGCAAAGAATCTGGGAAAGCAAGAGAGCACCCTACTTCTCTTATCTTTAGGCAAAGCCCACAGAGATAGGGTAGTTAGTATGGAACACAGCAACACCGTAGCTAAGTACAGCTTACCAGTTCTCTTCCTAGCAGAGTAGTAATCAGAACAGGTTCTTTTCAGGAAACCACAGAAAAAGAGAAATGAGTTTTATTGTTTTGTTTTAACTTGCTTTGAGAAATCCCTTTGCTTTTTTTCTTTGTTAGTTATTTGAAATAAGGCTCTTAAATCTATAGCTAATTCAATTACATCTATTGAATCATAGTAATTAGCAATGTTTACCAAGGACTTAAAAACATATGTTAAGACCTTAATTCTTGGGGCTGGGAAGGTGGCTCAGTGGTAGAGCTCTTACCTTGCATGCATGATGCCCTGGGTTCGATTCCTCAGCACCACATAGGCAAAAAGAAAAAAGCCAGAAATGGCACTGTTGCTCAAGTGGTAGAGCGCTAGCCTTGAGCTGAAGAGCTAAGGGACAGCGCCCAGGCCCAGAGTTCAGGCCCCACGACCAGACCCCCCCCCAAAAAAGAACTTAATTCTTAATAATTTATTCTAAGCCCTTTAATTATCTATTTTTTCCCTTCCTTCCTCCCTCCTTCCTTCCTTCTTCCTTCCTCCCTCCCTCTCGCTTCTTTCTTTCTTTCTCTCTCTCTCTCTCCTTTTTGGCTATACTAGATGCAATCTGAACTCAGAGCTTCACATTTGCTACACATCCAGCGATTTTTGCTTTTAGTTTTGTTTTGTTTTTTTGTCAGTCATGGGGCTTAAGCTTGGGGCCTGAGCACTTTTCCTGAGCTCTTTTTTGCTCAAGGCTAGTGCTCTACCACTTTGAGCCATAGCACTACTTCCCATTTTCTGGTGGTTAATTGGATATAAGAGTCTCACAAACTTTCTTGCCCAGGCTGGCTTTGAGCCACAATTTTCAGATCTCAGCCTCCTGAGTAGCTACCATTCAGGAGTGTCACCAGCACCTGGCTTGCTTTTTTTGTTATTGTTTTGTTATGGTTTTTTTGTTGTTGGTTGTAGGGCCTGAACTCTGGGTGTGTGTACTGTCCCTCAGCTCTTCTGCTTAAGGCTAGCGTTCTACCACTCGAGCCACAGCACCACTTCCAACTTTTTCTGTGTATGTGGTGCCAAGGAATTGAACCCAGGGCCTCATGCACACCAGGCAAGCACTCTACCAATGAACCACCTTCCCAGCCCGCTTTTGTTATTTTTAAAAATAGAATCTTGCTTTTTGCTTGAGCAAGCCTTCCTTCTTCCCTTTCTACCTTCCTTCCTCCCTTTCTTTTCTTTTGTGTGTGTGTGTGTGTGTGTGTGTGTGTGTGCACGCGTGTGCTAGTCCTGGAACTTGAACTGAGAGCCTCATACTTTCATTTGGCCTTTTTGCTCAAGGCTGACCTCTACCACTTAAGCCATACTTCTATTTCCAACTTTTTGCTAGCTAATTGGAGATAAGAGTCTCTTGAATTTGACTTCATGGGCTTGCTTTGAACCCAGATCCTCAAATCTCAGCCTCCTGAGTAGCTAGGATTACAGCCACCAGTGCCACACTGAGTTTCTTTATTTTTCTACCACTGATGATGATAATAGAATTGCTGTAAGGATTTTGAGAAACTACTCATCAAAGCACCTTGAGGCAGTGTTGGCACACAGAGCTCAACCACGTTATGGATTCTTGGTCATGTAAACACTGTATTCAGCGAGCGCTATCTAGCAAGGCCCTAGTGTTGCTTGGGAGGGAGAGCTACTGTGTGTGTGTGTGCAGGTGTGTGCGTGTGTGTGTGTGCGTGCGTGTGTGTGTGTGTGTATGTATGGCCTCCTTTCCTTGACTGCCTCTCCCCAGACTTCATCCTCATGGCCCAGGATATCCACATGTATGCCGCCAGGGTCCAGTGGGGCCTGGTCATGTGCTTCCTGTCTTACTTTGGCACCTTTGCTGTGGAGTTCCGGCACTACCGCTATGAGATTGTATGTTCTGAGTACCAGGAGAATTTCCTCAGTTTCTCGGAAAGTCTCTCGGAAGCTTCTGAATATCAAACCGACCAGGTGTAATTCATCAATTTTTCCTTACAAGTGTGGTGGGTGTGACAATGGGAAAGGACCCAGGACACACACAGAGGACTTGACACATAACTTCATCACACACACACACACACACACACACTCATGGCCACATCTGCCAAGAGCTTTTCAGGGCGTGTTCTTTCTTTGAAAAGCACAAGCCCTAATGTGTCCAAATACACGCTGTTACACTGAAGATACATGCACGACAGAGACAGGAGCTTGTGCATGAACATGTCTCTGCCTTGCCCTTCCCAGTATGCCTTGCTCTTCCCATCCTCTCCATGTTTTTACACATGACCATCTCCCTGCCACAGAGTAGGGCAGGCCAGATGAGAATCATGCCAACTCCCTAAGTTGCCTTCAGGTCCAAAGACCTTGGAATTTAACTGGTGAGGAAGTTGAGTGCATCCAGCACTGATATTCTTGAATGCAGAATCAAGTACCATCTGATTGGATGGATGCTGGAAGGAGCCATGACGCAGTATGGCCTATGAAAAGGAATGGGTGGAACTTTCCATGAGGCTCCATGCATCTCCATTCAGTGGTGGCTATGTGCATCCAAAGGCAAGAACTTGCTTCGAAGCCAGCGAGGGAAGCCCGTCACCACGATGTGGACTCCAGTCACTGTGCCTGAGAAAGCGCTCTGCAAATGAATATTCACAGGGACAGGTCGGCCAGGCATGGTACCAAGAAGGAGCAGGGAGAGCGTGGCTTTGTTTCAGCTTCCACAGTATGTCATGTACAGTTTTTGTTTTATGTTTGAAAGTTTACCTTTTTTTTTTTAAGTTACAATCACATCTCTCTAGCCCTCATGGACAAAGATATTGTAGACCAAAGGCAAGATACGCTTTGTTTGGGGCTCAAATTTGAAAAAGAACAAGGAGGGGAGGGAGTTGTGTTTGAAGCTTTTTTTAAAAACAAAAGAGAAGCACAGAGACATAGAAAGAAATCTGCACTTGTAGCTGTTCTGGCTGGGTACTTAGTTAACAAGCATCTTGCTACATGTCTGATCAGGGGAGACTTTTAAAATATGCATGTATTGCTCAAATTTGGAATCTATAGAAACCAATGAAAGATTCGTCTCCTCCAAGCCACATTTACGTAACTGGTCCCCTACAACCCAACATGTGGCTCTCACGTGTTTGGAGTTCAGAAATGAAGCTGCAGGTGTGGGGCTTTGAGGCTGTGTGTCACAAAGCAAAGCATTCCAAGGCCACCTGCATCCGGTAGGCCCAGTGAACAAGAGCCCCCACCCTTTCCCCTAAGTGTACCATCTCAAGAAATCCTCAAATTTTATTCCTTAGGGGCATGAGATAATAGTTGACTATAATGTGAAAAAAAATTAATTCAACCCAAAGTTTGAGCTTCCAAAGGAAATGTGTATATTTTTTTCACATATTTATCTCCACCTCCTAGCCGTGCCTGGTACTGGTACATATTAGGTGCTCAATGAAAGTGTTGAGTAGAATTCCTGATCGTTTATGAGTGAGGAAAAGGAATGCCAGAGACTCAAAGATCTGCATCAGAGAACAGAGATGGCTGGTCCTGTGGAATGAGTGGAGGAAGGAATGAGACTCCCTAAATGGTATAAAATGGGAGGTTCAAAATCCAGCGGAGTATTCTCCTGTTTAACAACACATCTCGCTGTAAATAGACCAAGGTGGCATTTATTAGTTTTGAATACTGCTTTTCTGTTTCTTTTTCCATTTTTAACTTTTAAAGATTTTATCAGACAAAGATTTATGAAGTTTTATTTTCCTCTATACAATCCCAATTAAACAGCTTTTGGTGATGCACTTGTACACTTTCTTATGAATGTCTCTAATAGCACAGTTTAGCTGAATCAAACAATGACTAGCATTATTCATTGGGATCTGGCCACTAAATAAAATTCTTTTATGCAAATTGTGACTTCCTTGTTTCTTGCTAGTACAAACATATACCTCTGTGTGTGTGGGGGGGGGGGTGTATACACTAAAACTGAAACACATGTAACTCACATATTATGTTTGTCTTTTGTACCAGTACTGGGTTTGAAGTCAAGCATTTGGGCATGGTCTCTTAGCTTTTTTACTCAAGGCTAAAGCTCTGCTACTTAATCTACAGCTCTACTTCCAGCTTTTGTGTAGTTAATTGGAGAGAAGAGTCTCAGAAAGTTTCCTGCTTGGACTGGCTTCAACCCTCAATCCTCAGATCTCAGCCTCCTGTAGTAGCAAGAATTATAGGAGCTACTGGTTCCCAGGCTCACACATTATATTGAAAACAAACTTCAATGTTATATAGGTAACATTTTTCCAACACCAATAACCAATCTCTGATTCTCTGGACACCACATGGGTATCTACAATTCAACTCTGCTACTCAGAGTTAGCATTAGACACAACAGGTTTACAAGCTCGGTCACACTAGCCACCCTCACCTTAACTTCAGTCACAAATCTTGCTTCCACAGGTTACCCTCACCTCTATCCAAATTGGTTACAATAATTTGCTGTGAAGGGCTTGCAGAACTCAGGAAAATGCTTTTATTTACACCTGCTGGGTTATCATGGAGGACAGAATTCAGCCAAAGGAAAAGATGCCTGGAGCCCTGTGGAAACTTTTATGCGCTCAGAGAACCCTACCCACCCAGCACCTCAAAGACTCATCAACCTGTGAACAATCATGTTCAAGAGCTGTTTTCAGATCGCCACCCTCCAGAGGTTGGTGGGTTAGAGAGCTGAACACTTGGTCTTCTGATGACCAATCACATCCTAAGTTTATTTAGGGCCTCTATGTGGGCCATCTCAGTAGCATAAACTTTGGTGTGATCATAGGGACTCATGATGACAACACTCCAGTTTTAGTTTTAGGAGATCTGAGCAGAAACTTGAGACAAAGACCAAACACATTTTGCAGTACACCATACATGGAAATCATGGAACCTCTGTGGATTCAAGAGGCATAGCATTCACCTAGGAGCATTAGGAGAGAATCTGCTGGTCCTGGGGCTTGAATTCAGGTTGCTATCTATCCTTTAGCTTTTTTACTCAAGGCTAGCACTCTACCATTTGAATCACAGCTTTACTTCTGCCTCTCTCTCTGTGTGTGTGTGTGTGTGTGTGTGTGTGTGTGTGTGTGTGTGTGTGTAACTGGAGATGAGTCTCATAGACTTTTCTGCCTACGCTGGTTTCAAATCATCACCCTCAGATCTCAGCCTCCTGAGTAGCTAGGATTATAGGCATGAGCCACCAACACCCACCCAAAAGACTTCCAAACCATGTTCTTAGCAGTCTTTTTGTTTGCTTATTGTGGTTTATTATTTAGGATCAGAAAACCAGCCAAGGACAAGAGAGTGGTGACTTTCCATTCCTCAGCAACACATAAGCAAAAAGAAAAAAGCCGGAAGTGGTGCTGTGGCTCAAGTGGTAGAGTGCTAGCCTTTAGCTGAAGAGCTGAGGGACAGCGCCCAGGCCCAGAGTTCAGGCCCCATGACCAGACCCCCCCCCAAAAAAAAGAAGAAGAAGAAAGCAGAGTAATTCCACTAATTATTGTGCAGAAGAAAAATGTTTTGAGATAGGTGAAAAGTTCAATAAGTGTGGAGGTGCACACTTGTAATCTCAGAACTTGAGAACTGGAGGCAGAAGAATCATGAGTTCAAGGCCAGCCTGAGTTACATAGCAAGATGCTATCTCCAAAAAAAACAACTCTCTGCTCACGCCTCCCCAAACAAAAATTCCCCTACTGATTAGGAGGGAAATATTTAAAAACCTGTTAATACTTTAAAGGTTTAATTATTTCTGACAGAGAGGTAAACTGTTACCATCTGTACTATTTGTTTAGTTTTTTATCCTTCATATAAGAAAGTCAAGCTTTCATATCCTGAAATTCATCATCTACTGGTCATAAATGGAGCTTGGAACACTATTATTTATTTGTCCTTAGGCTCTGTGTCAGGATAGGTTGGGTCTTGCTATTGCAAGATAAAGCTAACAAAGTTAAGGTTATTACTCATACTGGTATTGATCAGAGTCAGCCAGGGGTCTTGTCTGACTGAGGCTTCTCCTGCTTCCACAACTGCTCGCAGCCCAGAACATGGGACAGATTGCTTACTGGCCCTTAAAGTGGTAAGTATTACTCAGCTTACATTTCATTGTCTAGGGCATGGACAACTATTACTTAGCTTACATTACATTGGTTATGAAATGGCCACATCTAAAAGTGATAAAAAGCATTTGTAAGCAGCCTAATGACTGCTCACAGGATTCTTCCAAGCCTCTTTGGTCAGTGTCATCCCTTGAGGTGGGAGCTCCAAAGAGTCATCAAGAAGAACAGCAAGGAGAGTGGGGGAAAGGGGCCATTGATGGGGCCAATATCATTCACTTTGTCACCTTCATAAGAAGCACCTCACATTCTGACTGTCCCTCTCCACATCTACCTGCCTAAAACATTTCTCCTAGGACATCTCCCCCAATTCTTCACATTGCTTGCTAGACTACCTCCTCCCTGACCCTAACATGGGAGTGCCCTTCCCTCCCCCCCAGCTCAGACCTTGGAACTGTTTTTGCTTATCTACAGTCTCTAGATGATGTCTTCCAGAGCTCTAATTTTAAATTTTCCCATGTGGTGACCTTTCCCAAGTTCTCTAGCCCAGATCTCTACTCTAAATGCCAAATTGGACAAGTGTCTATCTTCATGATCCCTGCAGTGGCACAGGTCACATGTTTAGCCATCTGATATCTTTCAAACTGTCTGCTCAGACTGAACTGGTTCTTCTTTTACATGCCACATCTGATCTGCTATACCTTCCAAAAGTACTATGATTGTCTATCGCCACCATCTGGTCCAAGTCAAGACCATCTCCCCTGAATTTTTATAATAAATAACCTACAGAAATTGCTTCCATCATTTGTTCTCTTCACCCTGTCTTCAATACAATAGCCAAAATGATCTAGTTAAAAAGCTATATGGGGGCTGGATGTAGCTCAGTGGCAAAGCACTTGCCTAGCAAAGGCAATGTCCTGGGTTCGATTCCCAGGACCAAATAAAAAACAAACAAAAAACTATATGAGAGCTGGAGGTATGGCTCAAGTGGTGGACCACCTGCCTAGCAAGCACAAAGCCCTGAGTTCAAACTCCAGTCAGTCCTCCTCCTCCTCCTCCTCTTCTTTCTTCTCTTCTTCTTCTTTTGTCTGTTGCGGGACCTGAACTCAGCTGGGCACTGTCCCTCAGCTCTTCAGTTCAAGGCTAGACCACTTGAGCTGCAGTGCCACTTCCGGCCTTTTCTGTTTATGTGGTGCTGAGGAATCGAACCCAGGGCCTCATGCATGCAAGGCAAGCACTCTACTACTCTACCACTGAGCCACCCCTCCCAGCCTCCCCTCCTGTTGCTTCTATCTCTCATCTTCTCTTACTCTAATGCGATGGAGCTTCTGAATTCTCAGGTTCAGCCTCTCCAAATTTACCCTAGCACCTTCTTTATACCTTTATTATACTCTCAGGTGTTGGGGAAAACAAGCAACAATAACCAAAAACATGGCCTTGAAATCAGTTAAAATTCCAATATACATAACACTGTACATTGTATTTACTTGTTTTGACACTGAAGCTGTCTTCATCCCTAAAATGCAAATTCAATAAGGGCAAGGATTTTGATCTACTTGGCATCTAGAAAAGTGCGTGGCAAAAAGGTATGGAGTCAAAAAATGTTTTTCTAAAATAAAGCTGAGGTGATAGTTCATGCCTGTAATTCTAACATTCTAGAAATTGAAGCAGAAAAGAAGATCAAGTGTTCCAAGCCACTGTGAGGCACATAGTGAGGCCCAGTCTCAAAGAATGTAACAGAAATATTATACAAAAGTAACAGAAACTATTACATAAAATTTATAAAGGCTTATTAGAATATGGCATGTTAATATGTTTATCAGCGTCTATAAAATGTGACATCAATGTATTAAGAATAATTCATGTATAAACTGGGCATAGTGGTGTATACCTGTAATCCCAGAACTCAAGAGGCTGAAGAAGGAGGATCAAAAGTTCTAGGGCAAGCTGGGTGATGGTGGTTCACACCTATAATCCTAGCTACTCAAGAAACTGAGATTTGAGGGACCAGGTTTGAAGCCAGCCTGGGCAGGAAAGTTCATAAGACTCTGTTATCTCCAATTAGTCACCCCAAAACTGGAAGTGGAGCTATGGCTCAAAGTGGGAGAGTACTAGCCTTGAGCAAAAAAGCTCAGGGGCAGAGCCCAGACCCTGAGTTTAAGCCTCACAACCGTTAAAAAGAAAAAAAAAAAAAATCCAGGGCAGCCTGGGTTACTCTATATGAAAAACAGACAAACAAAAGAAAAACATATCTGAAGTAATTGACTATAGAATGCAACTGTGCCTTTAGCTAAGTTTAGTCAGATTTGAACAACTCAACATTTTAGCTATTTAAGAAATACTACTATACAGTCAGGAATTGTCCTGCTTTCCTAACAAGCAACTTTATGTGTCTCAAAGTGAAAATTCTAGATTCTTAGGATGTCTGCAGCTGCCAGTACCTTGTCAAACACCAAATTCTAAACAAGAAGTAGCCTTATTTAAACTCAGTCAGCATCTGATTACTTCTTTTTTCCTTTTTTTTATTGTTATTGTAGAATTGATATGCAGAATGGTTACAGTTACATGAATCAGGTAATGGGTAATGTATACAATTCTTTTTGAACCATGTATGTAGCTTCAAATAAAATCATGGGAATAACTGAGTCCTTATCTGAGGAAAAAAAATATTTCATGCTTCACTTTTTTTCCAGTTAGTATACATTAGTTGTACTAAGTGGGTTTCATTGTGACACTTCCACACATGTGTATAATGTACCCCAATCAACCTCATCTCCTCCCTCTATCTCCCATC